TTGACAGAAAAAACCCAACCAGAAACAACCAACCAAAAGACCCCCCCACGTTGTGTACAGACAAATACTTACATCCTTGAATGGATCACCCCGTGACATCTGCTCCTGAAGTTCTTTCTGCAGCTCCTTCCGAGCTCCTATGCTTTGCTGGTTCCGAACATACTCGGAAAGTTCTTTCAGTCCTGCTTCAGTGAAGTACTTGGAGAAGTGTTCAACGCTTTGTTTGTTGGCTGGGAAGAGTTCCTGAAAACAAAGTTTGCAAGTCTTTCACTAATGAAATGTGTGTGGAGTACCTTCCTGGTAAACGCTGTTTACTAAACTGGCTTAAATAGTAAATCAGTAATTTCAGCAGTACTCACCATCAGCCTGTTATCCATGTTTACTTTACGAAGACTGACAGCCACTGCATTAATATCTTTCTCATTTATCCATGATTTGAACAGCTTGACTGCAAAAGCTGCAGAAACACCTGTGCAACCGAATAGTAACTTTATTACTGAAATTCAAAACAAAGGGAATCACAAAGCCTGGGAGTACAAGGCACTTGGTTTGCGAGAGCCCTGCTCAAAGCAGCAGCATCTGTGCTCAGAGGCAGCCCCAACACAGCCTGCAGTACGTCTGCTGGAGGGTACTGCAGCCTCTGGCACACTGGACTTTTCTCACAACTCAGCATCACAAAAGCTTCCCTGTACTAAACTCTCCTTGCTGCAATTTAGGAAGGAACCCAACGACACAATACAGCTTTTGCAACCTAAAGATTCCATCTCCAAAATACAGTACTGCCTTGCTGGGCAACAGTAGTGACAGCAGCCCCCAGCCATGCAGGGATGTCCTACACACAAGCTTTCTGAAACTACTAGTTTTGTAAAGCCTTAGCAAGACTTGCCAGGTTGTGAGGCAGCATGTTTACCTTTGCTAATCCTGTAGTAAATCTACCACCAGTGAGCTGAAACTAGTGAGCAGCAAGGGTATGTACTGTCATGAGAATTCCCACCCACTTGTCATGGCTCTGTCCCTCACCATCCTTCCCTGAAGGGGAAGTTGGGCAATGCTTACCTTCTTTAACCAAGTTCTCATTGTAGAGACTGTTGAGAATGGATGCATTAAGTGTCCCGTTGGCCAGCAGAATACCCGTCAACATGGCCAGTTTGTTCCGCTCAGACTCTGAGAAGCCTTTCAGGAAGAGCAGCAACTGCAAGAGGAAGTAAGAAGAGTTGCCATGAAACTATCAAACCTCACTAAAGGCTGGCTACTGCCTCCATGTTAGACACCTTTGTTTCAATCAAGCCATTAAACTAGCAGAAGCTAGGTGAAGTTCACTGGTAGTCTTCTCCACTAGTCATACAAGCAGGCTATTCTTCTATTAACAATTTAGGTGTTCTATTTTAATAATCCAGTGTATAACTCTTCAGTATTGAGTGACTAACTGGCAGGAGGTGACGGTTTATTTGGTGATAAGGACCTAATCCATACCTTTTTGACTTCATCTTCAAAGCCTTTCTCCAGGTACTTGTAACGCCTGATTAGCTTGTTAAAAACCTAAAGAGACAGAGAGTGTATTAGTTTTTGCTCTGAATGATCTTTTAATTAGAATTTTAAAAAATCAAGTTCAGCAAAGTTGAACTCTTTAAGAGTAACTTTTAGCTTAGAACATTGCTACCTCTTCTAGTAAGCTTCTTAAAGCCATGCATTATTTTTACCTAAACTTTCAACTACACAAACATTTTGTTTTTAACCACTAAACACTTTAAGTTAAATTGTACTTGTTACAGAACTAACCTGAGCAAATGCTTGCATGGTTTCTAGGTCTTCCTGTGCTGCAAATACACAGACGTTTGTGCGTGTCATGTCATCTGCCAGGGTACCACCTGGGGCTAAAGAAGGGTTTTAGTATTAGTGGTTTTACTCCCCAGTGAGAGTACTGAGTAACCACATCAAGAATTCTAATACCCATAACATACCAGGCTACTTCACTAACTAGGGTGAACTCAAGTCACCAACGCCAGTGCCAGTATACCTCATCACAGATTTCTATGCCACCCTAGATATAAGGGAGATCCTTTTGTTATGTATTAGTCAGAAACATGACTTAAAGATGGAGATAAGCATTAGTGGCGAGAATATTAGAAAGTGGTAAGGCAACAGGATGCCAGTTTATTTTGGCCTTGTCTGACTAAAGATCAAAGCTGATCTACTTAGCTACTTGTTACAGAGAGGGAGTTGAGTAAAGGACCTCTGTATCACCATTAATGCAGCAATGCATTTTTTTCCCTTCCCCCTCTGCCTCACTCCTAGAAGGAACACTTTAAAACAGTATGCAGCGGTTAAGACTCTTGGACGTAAACCCACAGATTGTAACAATTTGTATGTCAATAATTTCAAGCAGCAATGCCCCATATGGCAGACAAGTTTACTTACGCTAATCAGCTCTTGTGAGATAGCAGAAGAGCCTCTTGCCAAAGGAACATCAGAGTAACTTCAGGCTACAGAACCCTGTTCCAATTCACAGCTTTGAGAGAGGCTGGCTTGCTTCATAAAGTTAAACTATTTTGAAAGCCTTGCTCGTCAGCTTGTTTGAGCAAGTCACTTGACATTTCTACAGCATCAGTGTGAAGACCACCTGAACATACAACAGATGCATCCTCCCAAACCAGCCACCCCCACTGCAGAACTGCCATCCCCAGTATAACTGTGGCCCATAATCAGATGTTTCCTCTCCTCCCGCTATGCATTTAGGTCATTTGAATTCTATTTCTGTTACATTACAGAAAATCTGCAACTCCCAAATTTCCCATTCAAGTGCTCCCCCAAGTATTGTATAACAAAAACTAAAATCTGAGACAGACCTTTTCCAGTCTAGACAGATGACAGAGGGTCCTCTTCACAGCCTGTATTTTAAATGGATCCCTGCCATACTTGAACCCCTTCTCATTAAACAGTATTTAATCAAGTGGGAAATGTAAAGTCTCAAGCTGCATGAAGAATTTACTTTTTTTAACTACTTCTCAACTTCACTTAGCTTCATCTACGTCTTACCTGGTTGGTGAGCGTCTGTTCTACTCTTTACGCACAGTGTGCACATGAGTTTACAAGGCTTTTTGTCATTTGCACTTCCTCAGTTCCCCGTATTTTCTGCTGATTTGACCACCCTCTCATTTCTCACCCCCTGACATCTGCTAGAGCCCATGACCTCACTGCTGCCAACAGCAAATGATTTGTAACAGCATTTTCAAAACTAAGCACATCAGATTCTTCTGTAAACAATATTACTTTCCAAATTAACAGGGCAGGTTACACAAAGCTCAGTTGGCCTTGCTACCGCAGACCACACACCTGAAAGAAGCATTCATCTATCTCACTGAACTCAACTACAGAGTCAAGATCTACTCCCAGTAAAAAAAAAAGTAATAAAAAATTCCAATATATTTTCCTTTATGCCAAGTTTGTACAGCCTACACTTTAAAGAATGCAAACTGACTCAAGCAAAAGTGCAGTAGGGTATACAGAGTATTTCTGCAGTCAGTGATTGCTCAATCTGTCACCAAGATGGTCATAGTTTACCCCAGATAACTTTAACACTGTTCTACACACTCAATGGTTCTTCAGCAGAGCTTTTACACTGAAAGAAAACAGGGAGCTTCTGTAGAGTCAAGTGAAAAAGGCTGAGAGCAGCCCCATCAAAGGGACTTACCCAGCATTCCACCAGCCACCAGGATGTCAAAAAGCGTTTCTGCATAGCGGCGATAGTCAAGTTTTGCACCCGAAGCATCAAGAAACTTTGCTACTGCCTCTAAGTCAGTGCCAGTTTCAGTTAAACCTTGAATAATACAGTCCTGGAACTGAGTAGGGTCAAACCTCTCTTTTTCATCTGTAAAGAAAAAGTGTTGAAATGAAGTTGCCACACAGAGCTGTTTTGTTTTTAAAATCTGTTTTTTTTCTTAATAAGATTAAAATGACAAACAAAAACCAAACAAAACTTGCACTGGCAAGCCTGAAGTTAAACACAACAGAGATCATTCCAGTCTTCCAAGACAACTGGTATTAACTAGCACAAATAGTGATTTAACAGTACAGCCTAACATGAATTTCAGTGGCCAATATAGCAGTAAGCAGTTTTACAGCTTTCACTCCCCTACTCAGTCAAGGCTAGGGGAAAGGCTACCAAAACCTAGAACATTCCTTAGTTACCTCTAATTGAATTCTTACAGTACTTTCACTAAGAAGAACACTTGTCTGTGATAATTATTAGCTCTAATAAAGCTTATTTGAATTCTGAGTTTTGATTCTCAATACGTGTCCCTACAATTTTGTATGTTTGACTCCACTACTTATGTTCCATTTCAGCTCTCTGGGCCTCTTGCCGTTTTGGATGAAATATTCCCTCTGAAATACTGCATACCATTAACATGTTAAAGCCAATTGACACTACTCGCTTTTTGGTTATGGTGACCATCCCCTCTCCTCTTAATATGGAGTTAAATGAGTCAGAAGCAATTGCTCCTCCTGAAGTGCCTGGGGAAAATGTAGAAATCTGAGCTCACTTCTTGTCTTAAATAAACACAAAATTATGGCCTATGATTGCAGATCTATCTACCATCCTGTGCTGTGGTTAAAGCAGAACACGCGCTTCTTGGTGTCTGAGATACATCAGTTGATCACAGCCTGGTTTTCACTACAGGTAGGGCACAGTTAATATGCACCAAATCCACCCGTGTAGCTAACAGAAAGCCTTAAATGGAAGAGGTCTTCAGCTTTACTCACCCCAATCTGTCCTTAGATTATGCAAACCATGAGAGGAAGAGCTTCCAAAGAAGCAGAACTCAGCTGCAAATCTTACTTCAGTGAGTGCTGTCTATAGCAGCTTAGCCAGTTCTGTTGGCCCCTGTCAGTATCCCTTCTGCAAGGGGCATACTAGCATCCCTGCATTCAATGCAAGTATCAACACGCTGGTAACAGTTGGGTGGAAATCTGGAAATACCGGATCAGTTATTTTCCAGGACAGATCCACGAAGCTCACTGTTACCACAGAGTTGCTTGGAAGCCAAACTATGGTTAAATGCTTAAAAAGACAAAAACCCAGGATGCTAGCATTTAATCTGCCAGACAGACGAAATCCAACTCTCTCACTTCAACAGCTTCTCATGGTACTTTTACTTTAACATTAAAATAGGTTCCGTAAGTCAACATGTACTTTTGTACAATTTAATTCTGTTTCTGGACGTACTGTACTTAGTGTCATCAGCCTGAGCTGGAATACTGCTAGCATATTAATAAAGCTGTATTACACAGAAACTCTTAATAGCTATCCCCACTTCATCTTTAAGAAAACAGTACCAAAATACTAAACTGCTCATCACACCTCTTCAGTCATTAAATCTTCTTATGGGAGTAATTCTGCACATACAGAGATATGCACTCACACATCCCACGCTTTGAGGTTCTTTTGGAAGATTTGTGGTGGTGTCATTTTTTTTTTAATTCAAATCAACTATTCTTATAGCATTAAGGGAACAATGTAACTTTTATCCAGCAGCTAACACTGAAATTCCTGCTAGGTTAGATGCTCCTCAGATGTTTGCATTAACCTGCCAATAGCCTGTGCTGGAGTCGCCCTGTAACTCAGGGGCACTGGGATATTTCTGCTAAGGCTAAACACACTCAGTACAGCTTTAGAATGACTGTCTCTTAAGTCAAGGCTATAACAGTAAATTCTGCTACAAGTCTTATCACCAAATATTTTTCATCAGTGCAGAGAACATTCTAGCACCCAGAGTCAGCCTTAAGATTTTGTATTTAGCGTGGTCTCATTTACATGATTTATGAGACAAACACAGAGGTATTAGTCTGTTTACAGACAGAAACCGATGGTTCACCGAGGGCCTCACATGCAGCACGGACAGGGGGTACCAGCAGTAGGCACGCTGCAGCCAGCTTACCTCTTTTTCTGGTTTTAAAACGCTGGCCTGATAGCGTCGGCTTCTGCGGCTTTTGATTATTCATAAAAGACACCCTGCAAGGAAGCAGAAGCCTCAGGACA